GCAAACTAAGGCAGGAAGATTGCAAATTCAAGCCCAGCCTGGGCAATTTAGCAACTTGGTGAGACCCTGTCTCAAAATTTAAAACAGTTTTTAAAGGCCTGAGAGTGTAGCTCAGTGTGAAGGCCCTGGGTTCAATCCTCAGTCAAAGAAACAAACAAGAAATAACAACAAAAACCCACTTTACATATATGTATATATGTTCATTTGTTTCATACAAAGTTACCTAGAACCTATTTTGCATCAGGCTGGAGATATACAGCCCTGAATAAGGCAGACAAAAATATCTACTTCAGGGCACTATCATAGCACTGAAGAGAGATACATAATAAATCAGTAAAAATATTAGATCCAAGTGTAATAAGTAAATAGAGAAACAGTAATTATGGGAAAGGACAAGGAATAGGTGTTGATGATTGTAAATAGGATGGCTAGGGAAGGCCAAGCCTGAGGGAGAGGAGATAGAGAGTCATTAGGTTATTCAAAGAAAGAGGGTTCCAGACAGAGGAAACTTCCAAACACAAAAGTAAAGCATGGCAAAGAGACCTACATGGGCAGAAGGGGAGAATATAGGTCCAGAATCCTTTACCCAGACTTCTGCCATCCAAAAACTTTTGAAAATTCCATGCCCCTTTCAACTTCTAGCATGAGGACATGACTATCCCTCTTCAAAAGCAGCATTCTATTTCCTCTTCTCTGCATGAGGAGCTCTTGCAGATTCCACCACAGCACCTTGTGCCTGCCTTTCCTTGCAATATCTCTCTGCAACTCCTTTACACCCCTAGTGCTACCAAGTATCTGGGCTCTAGAACACTGGGATTGTCATAATGTCATTATCATCACTTATTTTGGTCCCTCCAAAAAGCTAAAGGACTGTTCCTCGAGGGATAGGAGCAGTATGTTAGGACTCCAGCCACATCTCCTGCAGACAAGATTCTCACTTCAGCTGAAAGCTGAACACTTCTGCATAAACATTTCTGCATGTTGGCCCTAACAGTAATATCTAATGAAGAACAATTAGTCATTTTCTATTCTTTTGAGAAAATAAATTAAATGAGGATAAAGAATAGGGGGGTGGTATGAATAAAAAGAAGAAAAAAAAGTGGAGAAAAGAGGAAGGATGGAAGGACATAATTAAACTATAAAAGAAAAATATAAACAAAATTGAAACAAACTCAACAGACATTCTCTTCCTACAAGTGTTTATGAACATGGAAAGGAACCCTTTATCATTGACTCTTTCCTGTACTTATTCATCTGAGATATGTTTTCAGGAAGTGAGGTTTTTAATTTGTATGATTTTTCATGGAGGGAAGCCGGAGAGGGGAGCAAAGGGGAACATAAAAAAATTAAGATCTGTTATGTACGTGTAACAACTCTTCACAATGAACGTGATCATTATGTGCAAATAAACACGTACTAATAAAAATAAATATAAAAAAAGATTTTTCAGTAATACCAACCTCCCTTTTCAGATTAAAAAACTCCAAAAACTGGTTAGAAAATATGCATTAAACAAAAATTTTAAAGTATTAAGTGACGTCATTGCCTTTCTCCCTTGAAACTGATAATAAAATTTTTTTCTTCTTTTTCTCCTTCTTCTTTTTTAAACCAGCTACACAGGAAAGTGTTGGTTGGCCTCAAAAACCTTGTTGCGACCCGGATGCTCCAAAGTCAAGATCCTCCACAGACAGGAAATGCCTTTGCCAACTCCAAAGTCTCCTTCCAGCAGCCCTCTCCATTGTCTAAGGAGATTTGTGTACATCTGACTTCTGAAGGTTTCCCCCCTGCAACTGAATCAAAGAGCTATCTCAAAAGAAGAGACTCACTGGTGCTTTCTAGCTTTTCTGGCTAACATTTGGCACCCATTGGGTGCCAGGTATTAATGCCACTCCAGGGGAGGCCCTCAACCAGCAAAGGAGGTGCAGAGGACTTCACCTGCCCTAGTGCCATCTCTGTTCTTATCCACCACAGTATAAATTCCGTAGAGACAGGGCTTCCTAAAGCCACATCTGAAGGAGTAGCTGCTATTCTGTAGACCTTGGAGCTAATACTTTGGTGGGTGGGAGGAATCTACGAAGTGTTTGTCATCAGGGTTTAACAACAATATCAAAAAAATATATCAAGGGACAAAATTAGATTAGACACAGAGAATCCAGCTGGGATTTCATGAAACTCAATGGGATGAAAAGTAACTGTTAACACAACGTGTGAATATTTTGACCACAAGATACCACACTAGCCATTTAGAAACATCCTGGGTGGCTAGTTTTCCATATTCTGTCCCATGTTACCGTTAGTCACATAACTATCACTTCTGATCAAAGATTTAAAAGACTGTTATTAGATTTTAAAGAAAAGTAAAAGGATGACCTTTTAAGTGAAATGGGAATTTTGGTGCACCCTGTCCCCAGCAAAGTGCATTTTCCTCCCAAGTCCAAATATTCAAGTTTGCTTGAATTCCTGCCCTCCCCCCATTTAACTAAGATGAATATTCACAGTAATAAAACCACAAACACTAAGTTTGTCAGAAATGTTGAAAGAGAATAGGTACTTTCACTATCAGAGATGGTTTCCTCTTTTCCCACAAGATGTCTTATCAGCTTTCACCCTGAGAAAACCATAAAAAGTAAGAAAAAGAAACCTTATGCAATAGTTCTCTAAATAAAATACTACACAACAGGCTAGTCATCCCTAAAAGTGATGTTGTTTAAAGAGTCAAAGTACATCATCCAACAAAATCAATATCCTATTAAGTTAGCAAGGTTTCTGAATATCAAAGAGCAACAAACTGAATAACTTAAAGTATAAGTACACGACCCAGGGGATTAATCACACACTGTCATGGTGAAATTAGGGCAATTCTTCCAATCATTAACGTTTTGCTTACAAAAATGTGCTTTTCTGTTTGTCTTTCTGCTAAATGATAACCGTTTTCAAGTTGAATCTCCTGATAAAAAGAGTTAAAAAACAAGACAGGAGCTGTGCTGTAAAGGTCATACATGCCGCTTCAACATGAAATAGCCAAAAGACAAACAAATAAAAAAATGCCTGGATTGTAGGAAGAATTTGTAAATATTCACTGGCAGTCTATAATAGGGCACTTTAGAAATGCTAATGCCAACTTGCATCCTGAGAATACTGTACCTCTTCCAGTTAACATGCTCTTGATTCTTAAGGACATGTTTAGTTTAGACTGTGAGCAACTTGAAAAGAATTAGGGTTAGCTTTAAATTGGAAAATAGCCTGGATTAAGGAATTGTCAACTTTAAAACAAGACTTCACTCCTCAAGTTTTCAAGTATCAATCAATACATGGTGTTTCTCTGCTTAATAGTCATGATACAGTTACTCATAAGAATAAATATTAACCAGAGGTTATCTGCAGAGGAAAAACACACGTACAGATTTCAGGATTACTTTAATTTAATTCTAGGTCCACAAGCCTTCCATTCTCCAAAAATCTGATACACACAGTCCCTATTTCAGATAAGATTGATTATGGCCTTTGAAACCTTGATGTAACTTGAAAGCTTCGAGTCAGCAGCTGATGGGAAGGAAAACTCTCCCACTGGGTGGCTGTTTTGAGCTCTAATACGGGGAGAAAATGTAGAATGGGGGGAAAATCAAGAGCATGAACTGAGTTGGCAAATGGGGAGCAGGAGAAGTCGTGTATTTCAGCTAGACCATCTTTGTTCTACAAATGAAAGCAATGAGGCCAAGAACTAAAACTCCAGTGCAAATCTTCAAGTTTCCAGGCCTATCCACATCTCTCTGCCTAAGAATCAGCACTCAGTCTCGAAAATCAAAAACACCTGCAATTCCAGGGGCTTTTGTAGAAATCTGCGGAGGGAAGATGTAGCAATCTGCTAAGAGAAATGATTTTTTCACTGTCTTTGCCTGAGGGTCCACATCTGGGCAGCCACATCCCTTGTCAGCCAGATCAGGGTAGAGTCATTCTGTCCCAAGGCCTCACCCAGTTTCACCACAACTGGAGGGTTGCATGGAGGGAGAGATTTCTAGGCCTCTTCCCCACAGGTCTTTGTTGTGGTTTTTCTGGAATGCCAAAGACCTGATGTCCCAGCTAAACAGGGAGGTGGCTGCAGGCTAGCCATATCCAGGACTGTTAGAAGCCTCAGATATGTCCCCCTTTGTCTCAGCACCTTCATTTTCCTAAGTCCCACAATAACCGGTCTTGCACCCTGAACCCTCCTCTAGCCATTAAACTTCACTGCTACCACCCAGGACACTCCCTGGTTCCCATAATCTCTCTCCCTCCTCCTCCCTCTCAGCTCCAACCCCCAACCCAAGGTTGAGCTGTCCCAGTTGCTACCCACACTAAAAGCACCTTAGACAATGGTTCTCAAAGTGTGCTCTGGGCACCAGCAGCTTTGGCAAAACCCACACTCTTGTAGAAACTCAAATTCTCTCTCCCATCCTAGAGCTACCAATCTGAGCTCTGGGGATGATGGGGCAGAGAGTTTCAAGCCCCGTTGGTGATTCTGAAGCTGCCTCAGCAGGAGAATCCTGCCTTGACGCTACCTCTCCGCTCGCCCCAACCCCGGCGGCTTGGCCTAGCAGAGGGCCTCCGGAGCCTTCACGGATGACGCGGTGTTGACTCACATCGGTCAAGGTCAGCGGCCCGGACCAGCCGCGCTGCCCAGGACGATCGATGGGCTCGGGCGAACCCGCCTGCCTCTGCTTGCCGGGCCAACTCGTCCATTTCGGAAAGGAGGGTAGGAGATATCCGGCTAGCAGAAGCCGCACCCAGCACCCCCACCCCACCCGGCTCCCGCCAAACTCCAAACTCACATTCGAGGGACCCTAGTCCACCACGCCAGTCCGCTGCGCCGCCAGGATGCACGGAGCGAGAGGCCCAGAGAGCTCCGCGCCCAGAATTCCCAGTCCCAGAGCACCCCCCTGGCACCCCGGAAGGTATTCTAAGAAAAGGTGTGTGTTTTGGGTTTGTTTGTTTTAAACCCAGAGAATGTGATGTCTCACAAGGTCAGTCGTCTCAAGGACAGATTTATTTTATAGACAATGAACTCATTTTAAAAAATTCTGGCCATTGTTTTTACAGTGAACAATTCTATATACACGTTATACACACTGTCTGATGTAAAACACAATATCTACAATCTACTTACACTTAATCTGGAATTTCTAGTTCATCTGAGATTGTTAGTCACCGATGAGTCAGTTTCTCTGCCTGTAGGACAGCACTATCCTCTTAACACCTCTGTCAAACAGGTACTAAGTGATAGAGCAAAGCAAGTATTTAAGAGCCTTATCAGCTCTGCTCTGAATTGGTTGTGGATTTAAGGCAACAGTTAAGAATATCATATAAAAGTAAAGACCATTTCCTTTTAAAGTATTCCAAGCTGCCTGAAATATGGGCCCCTTTTCCAAGGCACTGGATTTGAGGGTGCTTTCTGCTTTGCCATTAAGTAGGACGTAAATACAGATTACAGAGTCATTCAAGAAGAGCCCATTAAAATCTTTAAAATTATAACTTAAAAAATTTAACAAAAGTTCAAAATTACTTTTTATAAATAGAAATAACAATTTACTTTTTTTCTAAAAAGGGCATGAATTTTTATCAAAACAACCTAAAATCAGTACATACACCATTTGTTAAATTAAAATTAAGGCTTCAAGGTAACTTTTCTAATTAACCAGTGCACCAAAAATTTTTAGGTATCCAGAATACTAGAAAATGGGTTTTCCTTTCTCTTATAGTTTTCCAGTTCTTCTGTGAAGAATTTCTACAGCAAAATGTTACTTCCCAGTCCAGTTTTTTGAATGCTGGTGACCATCATCCAGCGTTAAAATAGCTTTTATCGCCTTCAATGTCCACTTCCTGGTCAGAATTCTCTGAAATCTCTGAATCAAGGTCTTCCTGGGAGGCAGGGGAGGGTGAACACTGTGAACTATCCAAAGAAGCACCTTTATTCTCTTCACTGGGCAAGTTTTGCCTCTGGTCGCAGGGATTGTCCAAACTTTCCAGTTCCTCCTTTTTATTGCTTTGAGGGTTCTCCTGGATGAAAGGGATGAAAATGGAAATAGGTAGGACCATGAAATATGGAGAAGAGGCGTATATCAAAATGTCTTTTCATCCTGCACCATACTTTTTTCGTTTATTAAATGTTTTCAGTTATAATCTTTTCATTTGGAAAATACATTGTGATTCTTTCTTGATTTGAAAGAAATAAAAGTATGAATCACAAATATAAGTGTAAATGTACTGTATCAATGGAACACTTAATCCTTTTATACCTAGTGCCCCACTTTTGGAATGGCATGTAACAATGGAACATAATAAAAAATTTTCTCTTCAAATTCTTATTCCTTGAATTTTCTAGATAACATATGAATTTCATGTAGAAATTCAAAAAATTGCAACCTTCAGCATAAACAGTTAATACCACCCTAGACCCATGGTGTCAGGATTCTTAAAAATTTGAGGGGGAAAACTCAAATCACAACAGCTGCACATTATCTTCATTCTTTAAATATTTAAATCTTGCCAATTAACACAGGCTTATAGACATTTTAAGAACACAAATGTTAGGGATTGGGGCCTGTACAAGGCCCCAGATTCAATCTCCAGCACTTCCTCCCACCCCAAAGTGGTGAATTAAGAAAGTTTCCAAATTATTAGATTGAATTATTTTTCATTCATTTTCTAATGTAAATATACAAACATGTACACACAAATACATAGCAAGTGACAAAATCATGGCAAAGAAAAATATGTAAGTAGAAGAATGTTGCTGAGAAGGGAGAGAATTAACTAAAATTTGCTTAAAATCTAGAGGAAATTTCTGAAAAATATTCCCATATTATATAGAAACTATCCTCGGAAAAGTAGAAACAAGCCTTTGAACAAGAACTAAATAAGTTAGTGAATTTTTAATCCTGTGCTTGTCTAAAATGAATATTAATACTACACAGAAGAAAAATATGATATGCTGTTTTTTAAAACAATATAAAGTAATACATTCAAGTTTTCAACTGTGTAACAAATGCACAAGGTCAGAGCCTGAGAAGAAATCTGCAAACATGTAAATCATGTTAGAATAATAAAATTACGGAAATTTTATTTTCTGTTTTAAAATGATCTTTCTTTGGGATATCATCTTGTTCTTAATGGAAAAGTAATGATCAATAAATTTAACAACCCACATTAAATTTCCTCACCCATATTATTATTTCAAAATATTGTATTTATTGTTTAAAACGGGAAAATTAACAATTCAGCAATTGTCAGATAACTTTGGAAACATATCCAGATTAGGATATCAACAATAAATCTTCAGCTTTAAACAAATAGAGCTTCCTTAAAAACTGAATAGCCCTTTCCTTTTTATCATATATTGCGTAACAAGGTCACTGGAAGAAAGACTGTTAGAAATTTTAAACTACTTTCCAAACAGGCTTGGATATTTTCTTACATGTTTTATATTCATTTTAAGAGTTGGCATTAGATGGAAAATAATTTTTAAACTTTTTGATATTTTATTCTTCTTAAAGACAGCACAAACAAGACTTAAAGGTGTTTGTGTCCTTATATTTACCCTTGAGTTCTGCCGGGTTTTATTATGGCTGTGTAAAGAAAAGAAACAATTTTCTCCCAAAGATAACTGCTTAAATCATTTACTGTCAATTACTTTATCTTTCCTGCGTTAATTAGATAAACAACATATGGGGTTTATAAAACAATTAGCTGGGAGTTTTACTAGCCAGTGTGTGAAAACCCAAGCATAATTGATATAGGAACTGCATTAGGTGCTTTTAGCATTATTGCCACCTGAGCAACTCATCCTGAATTTCAGCAGGACTATTTGCCTTTTTAATCAAGGTGAAGAGGTTAAATAGTCTCTCAAATGACTTTTGCATACAACCCATAACAGGCCTCGCATTGAGATAACATGATACAAATATTTATTCCCATAGAAACAGAACTACTGCGTTGATACCTGTTTTAGTCTTCTCCATTTAGCGCGTCGATTCTGAAACCAGGTTTTGACCTACAGGAAAGAGAAAGAAAACTTATCAAGAGCCCAGAATCCGGAGGAACTTGGGCAGGAGAAGAGAAAGAAGCAGATCCGCGACTGGGGAGCCAACCAACCCTCCAAATATTGAACAGTATCTCAGTGCAACGTGGTTTCTCCCCATTCTGCTGCCCTTGGTCCTGGTGACCCCGGCCGCTCGAGCCAGGGGGCGCTTACCTGTCTCTCGCTGAGCTGCAGCATCTTGGCCAGACGCTTCCGCTCTGGCGGGGAGAGGTATTTCTGCGTTTCGAATTTCTTCTCCAGCTCGATGGTCTGGTCGTTGGAGAACCTCACCTGGCCACCTTTCCTTTTATGTAGAGGTCTCTGCAAGAAGGGACTCCAGAGCACCGGCTTGCCTAGCGCAAGGAGAGTAGTGGTTAGCAACCGCCCTGGAGCTGGAGCCCTCTGGGGCACCCTCTAGACCACCCTGGCGGTGGTGATGAAGTGAGGGAGAAGACGCAGGAAGCCACTCGACCTGACCTACTCATTACAACCCCAGCACAGGGACCCCACGGGCTCCCACCAACCAACACATACCCTGACACACGCAGACGAACACCCAAAGTCACAAACTACACTGTATAGGCACACACTGAGCACCTCGTACACTGGGACACACAATCTTCATACTGATGACTAGGTAAGAACACAAATCTTTTCATCCCCAAACAAATGCTCAATGCCGGCTGGGCTTAAAACACCATGACAACTCTTTCAAAAGTTGGTCTGGAAATTATGCACAACTTTTTGTACCTCTCAGTCCTCTCCGTTGCTGAAACGCGCTTTCCAGAGACGCTAGTGTGTGGGTTTTGGGGAGGAGTGGGGCTGCTACAGCACCCTGGGCCTGGCTTCGTGAGAAGCCCGGGTGCTGGGAGCCGCACTAGGCCGCGCTCGGAGCCTCCAATCCTGGCCTGAAGGCGCCGCGCCTCCTCTGATTTCACACTCGGCCCGCGGGGGCGGCCAGTTAAAACCACCCCATGGACTATGGCAACATTTCCGTCAATGTGTTTCCTGTTGGTCTATCACGAAAAACCCTTTGCTTCCTCCTGCGCGGTCCCAGAAGTCACCTAAGGAAACCCAGGGCGCGATCTGTGAAAACGTTCGTCCTCAAGCCTGGTCGGGCTGAGGGTCCGCTCCGGCCCCCACAGGGGACAGAGCCACCGGGGCCCTGGCACAAAACCCAGTAGGCTGGGATAAAAAAAACAAACAAACACAAATATAGTAAATAGCCTTTTTAGAAAATGTAACTCACACATCCCAAATCTTGTTAGCGTTGAGAAGCCAAAGTGGACTAAGTTAGACTAGAGACCCTGCCATTATAATGCCGATGAAGCTGCCAATAACAGTGTTGATTTAAAACTCTGGTGGCCCAGGGGAAGCTCCCCTTTCCCTTAACTACCCTAGGGCTTCACATCCTAGGGGCCCCAAGGGCAACCCGCGTCCAGACATTTATGGTGGCTTATTTCTTAGGCTGCGCACGGACGGGGCAAGTCCCTCAAACTGCCCAGTGCGCTGCTCTTCCTAACTGGTGCCCGAGGTCTGCACTTTCCTGCTCTAAAGAGGTGTCCGTCAGTCCGTCCGTCGGTGCGTCTAAAGGCCTGTGCCTAAGCGCTTTGAAAGCTGGCATTGTTTTTTCGAGATTTTGCTTGCGTCAGGCTTCAGACTGGTGCAAAACAGCCTCGAGAAAAAAAAAAGGAAGCAACTGGTTATTTTAGCTGCCATAAAGTCACATCCCACACAGAGGAAATGAACAATATCAGAAAAACGGATCCCGGCTATCAGAAGTCGAGTGTTTCCTGAATTTGTCTGTATTGAGGATGTCGATAAAATAATCAGCAGCGTGCACTACTCCGGGGGAAGGGTCTGCTTCATGCAGCCAGGAAAACACTTAACAGCTTCTGAAACCAGATTTACTCCTATCGAGAAGTCAAGATTTCCTGTATGAACGGAAAGGGTCAGGCTCTTTCACTGCACAAGCTTGTTGAACCAAGTCCAGCCTCGTAACCGCCCGGGCCCGGCAGCTTCCCTGCCCTTCTGGGGCAGGGCCGGGGTGCCTGGACACCGTCCTCCCCGTCCGTGTTGCTGGGGTGCCCCACCCTGGGTGACACGCGCTGCCGCAGGCTGCCCTCCGCAGCCAGCTCCCGACGCCCTCCCAGGGCCGCGCGCCCCGACGCCTGCAAGGTGCAGGAAAACCAATCTGAGTCACTGTGCGGTTAGCGCGGGCTGCGCGCCCCCGGGGTTCGCGCCTCCAATCCCCGCGCGCGCCCGAGAGCCGCTTTTCAATCGTTTTGGCCACAACTTTCAATTGCCTCTCCCCTCCGCCCCCGCCGCCTCCCGGGCGCTGCCACCTGCCGGGTGGCGCCTTCCTAGCAGTCGCCTCTGCTTGGCCCCGCCGTGACCCGGCCGCCTTACCCAGGGGGTCGTGGCGGAGCAAGGCGTGCGTGTAGTCGTTCACCGTCCGCGGGAAGGGGTACAGAGGGCCTCCGAGGCCGCCCGGGCCGTAGGCGGCGGCCAGCGCGGCGGTGGGGTGGTGCGAGAAGGCTGGGTGGATCGGCGTGGGCTCGTACACCGGGGTCCGGTAGGAGGACACGAGGCTGGTGAAGGAGGAGTTGGGGGACGGCAGCGTGGGGGTGGGCGTGGGGGCGGCGGGCCCGCGGCCCAGGATGTCTTCGATGTAGAAGGGCGTCGGGTGCGCGGGCTGCAGCAGCGGGGTGGGCGCGTACAGGGGCACCCCCCCCGCCGCCGCCGCCGCCGCCGGCCCGGGGTGCGGGTACTGCATGGCTCCTGCGCTCCGGGCCCTCGGAGAGCTGCCAGCCCGCGCCGCGGTGCTACATTTATCGGCGCCCCGAGCTCCCGGCGATAGGCTCTGCCGGCCGCGGGGTGGGGCCGGGCTCCTGGTCCCCTTCCTGCCGCCCGGCCCTGCGGCCAATGGCGCTGGTCCCGAGAGCCGCCTCCCGCCCCCACCCCTGGCCCGCCCCCGCCGGCCGAGCTCCACGCCCCCGGAACGCTCTAACTCGGGGCTCCGAGGACCCTTCGCCTAGCTAGGTGGCCTCCGCCGAAGTCGCCACTGGGCACTCCAGGCGTCGTAGCCGTAGACGCCCTTCAGGAAAGGCCGAGGCGCGTCCGTCGGAAGAGACAGGAGGGCAGCAGCTGCCAGGAACGCTGACCCCGGCGGCCATAGCCCCAGCTGGGAGCTTGGTCCAGGCCTGAGTCCAGAGTAGGGACAGCTTGCCCTAGGCGAGGAGCGACCGGATTGGGCTGGGTGGCTTCGCAGTCCCAAGAGAACCCTTCCAGGACGGTGCGCTCCCTGGAATAACGGTGACGCTGGTTATTGCCCGGGGCTCCTCTTACACTCGCAACTGGAGAGTGCCCAAGGCTCCTAGAGCTGCTCCAAAGAGAAGAAACTCCGCCCTTAGCTGCATTCTGGCGGGGTTCAGGCGACTAGACTTCAGGTGCTCCAGCCTCAGGGCGCTCCAGCCTATTTCACTGGGGAGCTCCTGGACCCCAGCCATCTCTGGGATGCTGGCAGAAGCTGCTCAGGACAGGACGCAAGGGGAGGACTAGGTCGAACAGCACCAGGCAGAGGCTATGAAGTCCTCTTGGATGCAATGGGGGATGCTCTGTGTCCTTTCTCCCCAGCCTTGGGGGTCACAGCTGCAGGCAGACGGGATCCTCCGTTTTGCACCTGCTTTCTGTTAAAGGTGGGGCGCTGTCCTTCCTAGTGCAGCGTGGCCTCAGCTCTGTGCGCCTCTGCGCGCCTCCTGTGCAAAGGGCCAATTTCTTGATTGACGCCCTCCTTCGGTCGTCACACCTAGCAGTGTGCTGTTTCCGCTAAGGTTCTATATTAGTCCTGGAAATAGAAAGATTTCCGACCTTTTTCTATAGGATTTTTAAAATTATTATTAAATCTACATCTTTGAACTGTTTCTCCAACTGCAGTGGGACTGAAGTAGGGAGACTGGACCGGGAGCCGGACTGCTTGGGTTCGAGTTTCACTTCGCACATTTTTGTTGAACAACTGCGGTGTGCAGCGAACAAGACATATAATCCTTGTCCTCACGGAGGCAGGAAACAAATTTAACACAGTAACATACATGTGCTAGGAAGGAGACGTGCACAAAGAGCTGAAACCTTATAACAAGAGAACATCACTTAGTTGTGGAGGTGGGGAGAGGGTCTTGGAACTGTAGGGAAGGGAAAGACTTCCCAAAGGGTTGAGGTTTGAAAGATAAGTAGGTGTCAACAAGACTAGAGTGAGAGACAGGAACATTCCAAGTCCAGAGACTTGGAAAGAGTGTTGTTAGCTAATAACGACACTTGGTCAATTCACCACCCTGAGCTTTTCTTTTCTGAAAGACACTTGACTTGTCCATGCCTAGACATAGGCATCTTTCAGGATCAAATGACAGGCAAGAGCTACAAGCACAGACAAACCTAGTGAGTGTAATGTACTATCATTTGAGTTAAAACCTTGGGAGTAAGAACATACCTATCTCTGTGTTTGTCCTATTATATAACAAAAAATTAATAATATTGGTTGTCCAAATAACATTGGCTGAAGACAGGGATGGGGCTGAAGGGAGAATGTGTATCCCATGAATATTTCAAGAATTGAACCATATGCATGTGTGACCCATTAATACTATAATTAAGTCCTTGAATAAGTGGCTGATTGTAAATCTGAGGCAGGAAAGGTACAACATGCACAAGAAACCATGTTGCCAGAAATCATGGAGGGTGGGGAGGCTACCTTGAAGGGGCTTGCTTTGGCTAAATTTGGGGACATTATAACACACTTCTGAAACCCTGTATGAGCTCGTGGTAATAAAGCAAGAGAAAGGGGTAGAGGGTGGGAAAACTGGAAGAATGCCAGCTAACAAATGTAGAAAGTTGATAAAATCAGAAAATATAACATTTCACTCAAAATCATCCTTGGATAGCAAAAGTAATGTGTGAAATGTTAAAGATGAGGAATCTCACAAGGTCTTATGGTATCAAGTTGATTGGACTCTAGGTTTTTAAAAAATATATTAAAAAACTTGTTCAAGGATAATGAAGGAATGTGAGTATGAATTGTATGTTAGTTAATATTGAATATTAAATATGAATTGTATGACAATATTAAATTAGTGTTGTCTTGGGTGTGATGTTAGTATTGTGAGTTATATTGGAAAATATAATTCTTCTCTAGGTTTTAAAGTTTTTAAAGTTTTCAACATGAAAGCTGGGAAAAAGTATGATTTTGAATGTTAAAAATGAAAGCACTGTTTCATTTTTTTGAAGGTAAAAATTATAAATTATCTGTTAAGTCTGCCTATAATTTTAGGTAGCACCTTGCCCCTGGAACCATCAGTAGAGGAGTTTTGGGGAATCATCGGGCTGTGTGTGGGTCAGCTCTGATGTCTGTAGACTCCACCAGCCATCATTCTCATTGTGTAGCCTGCTGGAGAATTTGATCTGTTCTGTGTACCAAGAACAGACACAGGTTCTGGGGACCAAGAAAGGACAGTTACTGTCTGAACTTCAAATATCCCTTCAAAAGTTTTATTTGGTCTTCAAAGATGAGGACCTCAGTGAACTAAGCAAATAACTAAGTATTTTTCTCACAAATGTTTTCCCCTCATTTTATTTTTCTTCATTTTTGCCCCTTCCGCCTAGCGAGTAACCGGAATAATTACTCCTGTTCATTTACAGCCTTTACAGAAATCACTAGGTAGCCTTCATACACCATCTTCAAAAATAGTGTGAGTTGATAGTACTAGTTTATTCTGGGCTTGATGCAGCCACAAGCCAAGAAGATCTAAATCAACAAACATCCCCCCAAATATTAAAATGCTAGAAGAATGATCATTAATAATCACTAATACTAGGGAAATTATCTCTAATCATTAAATAATCACTAATAAAGGAAGCATCACTCTTTTCTTTGATGTCACCACAGACCTTGGGAAGTGGATGTAGACCTTTAAAAAGGCAGTGGTATAACATTCCAAATCAGCTACATAATCCTCACCAGCAAATTGAAGCACTTAATTCTGTTAAGCTATATAACACTACCTTTTCTAAATCCAGTCATCAGATCCATGTTCACTTTGCTGTAGTTAAAAAAAATTACAACCACATTTGTGAATGTCACATTTATTGAACTACATAATTTTTAATATCACTTGTGTGGGTTTTATAGTTTGTTTTATTGTTTTAAAAGTCATTTGGGGCTCTAAAAGAACTAGATTTTTCCAACATTGTCCTTATGATTTTTTTTTCACACAGTCAGAACTAATAAAACAAAACTGTTGTAGCTATTTAATTCAAAATCTCTTGGAGTTTCAATATTTTTTCTCTGCTGGATACTAAAACCAATAAAGCTACATGAGATTTTAATTATATACCGAATTAAACAAGACTCTCTCCAAAAATTTGGCACCATTTATTTTCATCATTGTACAAAGGACCAGATTTTGTAAGAAAAGGTAGTTCTCACCTCTAATTTATCAAGTAAGAACTTAGGTAAATTTTTTGCAACTTATTTCCAATAATTAAATATATGTAGAGGTAAAATTCCAAATTAGCAGTGGCTTGAAAGCACAAATGGATTTTGTTATAGCAATTTAGTTCCATTTCTACTTATACTGCAAGACTTATTACCTTTGAGTGTTGGAATGACAATAATTTTTGTTTTTATTTTTTATTTTTATTTTTGCAGTACTGGGGGTTGAACCCACAGCTTTCACACTGAACTACATCCCCAGGCCTTTATTATTTTTTATTTAGAGACAAGATCTGGCTAATTTGCCCAGGCAGGACATGAACTTACAGCCTTGCCTCATCCTCCCTAAGAGCTGGAATTAGAGACTTGAGTCACCACACCAAGTGGAATGACAATTATTTATTTATTTATTTATTTATTTATTTATTTTTGGTACTGAGGATCGAACTTGGGACCTTGCACTCTCGAGGCAGGAGGCCGAACCACTGAGCTAAATCCCCATCCCTGACGATAATTTATTAAATCTCATATCAAATTGTTTTATCTTATTTAGTATTTGACAAAATCTAATTAGTATTTTAATGGCTTATTGACTTAACAAAATGACAGTCTGATCAAATAGAAATGTTTCATCCATGTGATGAATGGGACCAGAGCCCGAAATACATGGGTGGTAACCAATAATTACTTTATCATCTCTTCACCCGTGCGCTCTTCCCTCATTTTTACTGGCATTCTGTTTATTTGTTTTATTTGCTTTGTTTTGGTTTGGTTTGGTGGTGCTGTGGATCAAGCCCCCATCCACACATGCTAGGCAGGTGTTCTACCACTGAGGCACACCCCCAGCCTCCTTCCCACATTTTACATACTACAATGTGTATCACATAGCATTGTGAAACAGGTGAATTTTACTGACCATGGATCCTTAGGTAGGATTTATGATATTTATTTATTCAATATAAAAGTGATGAAGTCTGCCTGTCTTGCAAGCACAAGGTCCCGAGTTCGATCCCCAGTACCAAAATAAATAAATAAATAAATAAATAAATGTGATGAAGAACTCAAAAAGAGCACAAGAACTGAATAGGCATTTCTCCAAAGAGGATATTCAAATGTCTAATAAGCACATGAAAAGATGTTCAATGTCATTAATCATCAGGGAAATGCAAATAAAAACCACAGTGAGCTACCACTTCTTACATACTAGGATAGCTACAATAAGTTTTTTAAGCAGCTTTTTTTTTTTTTTTTTTTTTACCAGGGATTGAACTTGGGACCTTGTGCTTGCAAGGCAGGCGGTGGAACCACTAAGCTAAATCCCCGGCCCCACACAATAAGTTTTTTCAAAAACAAGTGTTAATGAGGATGTGATAATTTCAAACCCT